ATGATGATGATGATAATGATGATGATGATAATGATGTTAATGATGATGATAGTAAAATTTCACCATACCTTGAATACTTGGGTAGAAATAGAGTACTAGAACAGGTCGCTGCTTCAGGCAGGGAATCGACCTCTGCATTACTAGAGAAAAGAAATGATAGATTAAACCTTGTTCATGCTAGTAGTACATGCTCTAATGACAAAAAACGGTTGTCTTTTTAAGGCTCAGACGAGAATACTTAGAATATAAACTCACCTTCTGCCTGGACAAATAAATAACGGTGCGGGAAGACGCCTACGGCCTGTTACGAACCGTAAAAAACGACTTCGGTCCTCTGTAAATAAAAACAATTTGGATCAGAAATCACTGTAGTATTTGAAGCGATGATTATTGCTTGTTGCAAAGCTAAGCTAAACAGTGAATACAATTCATAAGTATTCCGTGTCGTATTTTAGATTCGCTTTCTCGCTATACTGTCAAGTAATCTTTTAAACTGTGTGCCCGTGATATCTTAGACTGCATCGCAGAAATGGTGAGTAAGTAGTTTCGTGCATATAACGTACCGTTTGTAAAATTTTCCAAGGCTTGCCAAAGATCTTTGACTCTCTGATCGTTATCTGCAGACATGTCTTCATAGTGAGCTATGGATGGATACAAAGAACTACATAAATCATTGAGACTTCCTCTTCATCCTTCTGCTATTTGAACGAATGAAATCTCAGGTTCAACACAGAGACTTTCTTCAAGTAACGAACCCACCGATTACCATTCTCTAAAATGATTTCTAAGCCTATCCCACATGGATTAATGACTCAAAAATTTACAAATTACACATGCTCTAAAATGATTTCTAAGCCTATCCCACATGGATTAATGACTCAAAAATTTACAAATTACACATGCTCTAAAATGATTTCTAAGCCTATCCCACTTGGCTTAACGCCTACTTCCTTATCTGTATAAATTCTACAGCATTCTTACAGCATTTCTTCAATGCTTCTACTGTAATCTCAGGATCACCGCAGACTCTTCTTTCTAGTTCTTGCCATGTTAGGAGGTCTAACACTGCTTGAGGAACCACCTTTAATAATCCTCGTCTTATAGCGTCGATCTGATAACAAGAAAAGAATATTTCTGAACACGTTCTGTATTATGATCGCATTCAAAGTCGCAGTAACAATAGTCCCGTTAAGCCTCCTCTGAGGCACAACCAAGAATCACGGGCTCCCTGTCTTTTTTGGGAGTCAGAGGAAGGAGAATGGGGCCGAGAGAGAGGATCCTTTCTAGTCACTAGTCCCTAGCGGCCAAGTTGACCGATACAAAGGAAGCCCAAGGCGAGTTACCTGTTGTTTGGATTCATTCATACGGTGCTTTTGAACAAGTTTAGAGTACAACTCCTTCTCATCGTATTCAACAAACCGTTCTGATCCCCCAGGAACAAGGTTAACTAGTGTATTATCACTAAGAACCTGAAAACAACAAATTGAAGCAACATTGTTATACAGCTATTTCAAAAAACGATGTCGGGGAGAACGGCAAATGGCGATTGTCGAAGGAATATTGCTCGACCGAAAAGGACTATGGTTACACTGTTTTAATAAACAAAATTTCAMTGATTGGATTCACCTTACATAGWAATGGAGACTAAATGGAGCCAATGTTTACCASAGACCATCTTACAGTACAAATCAGTTGTTATTTTATTACACCGAGAGAAACCCATGACTACKTTCGGTCGTGCAATCGCCGTTCGACCATTGACATTCGCCATTTTATCCGACAACCTTTTTTGAAATAGCTATATACATCATAGAAGCTCATACCGAAGTGTTACATGGGATTAGATTTAATCAAACTACACGAACAAAAACTTGGACGCTAAGTCTACAMATATTCGGAGTTTGTTAGGTTTTGAGGGACGACTTTTGATTGCCAGAATGTGGTTCACGCAACATCACTAAATCCGTGAACTATTTTGTTAAAAAAGAAGGCTAAATCTTACCGTTGTAAAGGTTAATACACCACCAAACTTTATATCAAAGGTTTCTTTATCAACTGTTTGTAGTCGTTCTAGTAGCTTCACCTGTGCTAGGTCCACTGTGTTGAAGTCACGTGACCACGTCACACGCTCACCCACCAAAGGCTTCCATACGAATGAAGGCAGAGATACAACCTGTGCATAAAGTACAGCGTTAGACTTACGTTCAACTACCCTTTGCGTTTTCGTTGTGTTTTACGTTTCGGTAAATTACGCTACGTTTTTCATTTTTTTTAGCTTAGTCTATCGTGACGTTTGTGTTACGTTTGCGTTACGTTTATGTAAATTACGTTGCATCTTTCATTTTTTTTTAGTTTACTCTTTCGTACGTTTGTGTTACGTTTACTACGTTTATGTAAATTACGTTACGATTTTCATTTTCTACTGACCAAATGTTCTCTTCCACTACGTAGACACGCCCCCATGATCATTCCTAACCATTCAAGTTTAGAGAATTCTTTACAAGACGGTGAAGGGATGTAACTATCTCTGTTAACACTAGACGAATCTTGAAGCTAAAAACAAAAGTCACACCAAGTGAGAAAAAAAACTTTTGTAATGGCGGTTTCGAGTTCATAGCCGTAAGGATAGCCTGAGTGCAGTCCGCAATCAAGGTGATTACGTAGCCGTTCTTGTGACGCATCAATACGTGAAGTAGACTAAATATGTTCCTGTGATATGCGTATTCAATACTGTACCTGATTGGGTGTTCGTACAAAGTAGTGTAAAGGCATCGGGTCGTCCATTGCACTAGGACACAGCTCCTCCGCCATGTCAGCTAATGAATCGCGAAAACCACCACCTAAATAGAGAACATTGTTATCACACCTTTTGTCATCATTAACATCATGATCATGATCATCACCATCATCATCATGATCATCACCATCATCATGATCATCACCATCATCATTGCAACAATTGCTTTGCCATACCTTGATCTATGATTCCTTCTGACAAGAACTTGCATTCCCACCACTGGTCATACCTTCCTGGCCATCTGTAGTCAAGCTTTACACCACACMTTTCTTGTTGAAGACTCTCATATAACTGAAAAAAAGGCAAAACATTTGTACATCTGCATCACATTTCAATTGAATTAGACTTTCGCAAAGTCCGTTTTTCGCTCGCGGCTCGCTTCTCACGCTTCGCGCTCAATATTCACCCATTCCTGGGAGTAAAAGAGAGTCTGAATTGAACAAGTCTACAATTGAATGACCTCATCACTTTTCAATCACTACAGTTTGATTAGTGGCTGCTGACTGACCTATGTACGATGAATTACAGCTTTACCTGATGGAAGATTGTATTTTTTCCCTCAGGGTCYTGTGATGGGTCTGCTCGGTGCTCTGCTGCGAGACGTCGATTAATGAACAGCTTAGGCATCCTGGGAGGAGGACTGGATATAGAGAAAAAGAATGAATGAACAAATGCACGGATGATTAAATGAACAAAAAACTGATAAACAAATAGTTAAATGAATGGATGGATGGATGGATGGATGGATGGATGGGTGGATGAATGAGAACCACAAATTGCATGAAAAAGAAATGAAAAAGAGGAAGATAAAAAAAGGAACAGAACAAAGGAGATAAAGCGATATGATACAATACATGAAAAAAGAAATGAAAGAGAAAGAATAAAAGGAACAGAACAAATGAGAGGAATGTGTATGATACAATAGATGGAAACAGTAAAGAAATGCAGGAAGAAATGCAATATACAGATGAAGCTGATGTGTTTTTACAAAAAGCAACAGTAAAAKGAACACATTCAAATCATAATTCATACCCTGTCTGAGATTCCTTGAGAAACTTTTCTAATAAATTATTTCTGTACCGTGATAAAGGAAGGAGTTGTCTRATTGCCTGAATAAGAAAACCTTTTATCAATTCATCTAACATATCAGTAAAGCAACACTGTTTATATAACCAATAATAAACCATTACCAACCTCTAGATCATTGAATGATCCTACTGTGTAATTCCAGGAAGGAAGTAAATAATGTATGACACTGTCCAGTAAGTCAATAAACCTACAAACATACACAAAATACTATTAGGAAATATAACCCTTGCAGCTCACGGGAATTCATTTCAATCATGGAGTGCAAACCTTGGAATGTGGTAGGGGAGAGACATGAGAAAAAGTCCAATAATGCAAGAGGAAACAATAAGGGTATAGAATGGTGTCTCAGAAATCGCGAGGCTCGCGAAAAATTTCCCAAGGCTCGCAACCTCTGCGCCTAAAAGAAAGGGGCTCGGATTTAAAATTGCTTTTGGCTCGGAAGCTCGCAATTGCTGAAATATTGGACTCATTCAGCCAAAGACTTGGGCTCGGATTTTAAAACAAGGGGCTGGCAGGCTCGGCGAGGCTCGGATTTTACCATTCGATACCCCTACAATAATAATGTGACTACAAATTAGGATTCTATAACTACATGTATCTTTATCATTTAATTTGGGTGACAGTTACCTTTGTAGCACCTGCGCACGACGGTACAGAAGTGGAATATCAACAGCATCTAGCTTTGGAAACCTTAATGTAGAATTACAAATATATAAATTCATTATGTACTTTGACTTTGATAATCATATATCATAATAAATAAAAGAAAGATATTTCTTGCTTCATACATGTATCAGTAACAGCATCTTTACTAGAAGTGTGTGGTTCATTTATCTATAATATTACCTGACTAGTTGAGCAGTAGAGAGAATATCAATAGATAAACCAGGTTCTTTTTCACTTGCTGACACAATCTTTATACTATGTATTCTAGTATCAATACCGTCATCTGAAAAACAAAAACAACAAACGTTTAGTTTCAGCGTACGTGGATGTCATTATGGTAACCTTTTAGCAAACATATGTCATCTGCAATGGAGATTATAATACCTTTACATTCTTTGATCCTGATGTCAATAATATGAAAATACTGTGTCATTGATTCAAGTACWAGTGCATCACCGGTGAAATTTCTGTACAAAGAAATTCATAAAATTGAAGCCTAAATAGTAAAAACGACATCCAGCAACAATGTTTCTTGCCTATGTGACACTGGGAAAACTTACAACTTACATATAAGTTAAGTTATAATGATGTTTCTTTTAGGCTACTGTGTTGTATATTATATTACTTATCAATAAATGAGCTTACAAGTCAATGTAGACTTCATTTAGTAGTTTCACTGAGCCTGTTTCACCACCATAGACAAACACCTTATAAGGCATGTAGTTATCATCTCTAGAATCAACACCCAGATACAGCCTTCTGTAATACATAAACAAGAATACATATGAGAATAGATTGATTGATTGACTAATTGATTGACTAATTGATTGATTAATTGATTAACTAATTGATTGATTAATTGATTGATTGATTGATTGATCAGATTACCTTATAACAGTACCAGGTTTAAGAGTCAGTTTAATCCAGTGTCTTCCTTGACTGCCATCAGACTCCCAGAAGCTGTCTGGATCTCCATCAGTTAGATTATTCTTTGTTTCACTTTCCTGTTCAACAAATGATTTTATATTTATGCCTGTTTGGTTGAAACAATTGATTGAATGATGCATAAATTTGAATGATTGACAGAATGAAGATGATGATGATGACAGTCTTTGTGTTTATGATAATGATAATACCTCCTGTTCCTCTACCAAACAAAACTAAACAAACAAGCAAACCAACACACATTCTCACTTACTGAAGACACATCAATATCTTCAACAAATCTGCTGATATTTCCAAGACTAGTTTCATGTTTGTTTACATGATCAGTAAGAAATTTAGCCAGTTCTTCRTCAGCATCAAGGTTCCACTTGGGAGGGGGTGTACTTAGTTCTTTCATAGCTTCTTTATCGCCGTACTTGTCAATCACAGGTGGTTCAGTCAGCTGTAATGTGTATGATACTTCRACTGCCTCTATCCAGCTAGAAGAAAAGGTGTTATTGGAAAAAAAAACTATTCATGGTTGTAGAGACAACATAATTCCTTTAAGAAATACCTTAAAAAATTCCTCCCCTTTGATCCTGAGGCCTTTTTGTGAGACGACTGAGATTTATTAGGGAGTTGAGTTAGGCATTCTTTGCCTGGGCCTTGCTTGGGATCACATGGTATATGCAATACCCAACCTTCCTTGATAGTCTTTGAAGATGCAGTACAAAACTTTTGAAGAGATTTCTACAGGGAAAAAGTTATTTCAAAAGTAAGTATTTTTAAAAAGTATCTATGAAGATATAGGAAGAGTACCCTAACATCATGGCACTTCCATGAAATAATGAAAACAAATAGTCTCTAGATTAACTTGTAAAGTTCGCATAAGTACTCAATAAAACCTACTTATGAATATTGAGTAGAAATTACTAAAAATAAACATTCGATCATAAGCGATCACGCGATGGCTTAAGTCAATGATTCAAAAACTTTACCAAAGACAAATATTWTCAATTACTGGCAATATTGCTAACATTTTTTCAAACAACGACATTTTGAATAGTGAACCTGGTTAAGTTTAATCCATCGTCCATATTTATTGTTGTATTCGTCTCCTGATGCTGAAACTTCAATCCCAGAGGTGAGATATATCTCTCCAAGTTTTTCCGCATCTTTAGATGGTTTYCGTAGAACAGGAATAGGAATAGTTTCACTTGAAGTTTCAGAACTGGCTCCGTATATGATTTCACCACGGACATAGCAGAGGGCTAAAGGAAGTGGTTTTCCTTGTTCCATGCGTTTTATAGTGTCTAAAAGACATCGTATGCGAGCAAGACGCTTTCTTGCTGTCTCGTTCTTCATTGYGGGGAGCTTTTTAAGGGGATTTACTGGCCATTTACTGCATATTTTGCCTTCTGCAAACTGTACAACATGTACAACATCCTTGCTAYCTGGCTGACCTGTGAATGTTGTGCTTAGTAGCCTGGCATTGAGCATAGATCATTCTGGAATGGACTGGACTGGACGTCGGGTTGGTTTCTGTTKCATTTTCAATTCTCTTTTGYTCATTTGCTTTCCTTTGTTTGTAATGRAATTTGGGTTAAAGTATTCTAATAGGGGTGGTGGTTGGTGTGACAGGTAGCCCAACTAATAGCTTGACGCACCAAAAAGTCACATATAGAATTGAGTTGCGCTAAGGAATGTCCATGATAGATGCTGCCATTGAAAACTATGAAATGTGCCATGATTTGAGTATTAGGTAAAGAACGTATAGATCTCATTCAGCCAGTTGTGTTTAGTAGAGCGAAGTCATTATTTTTGTGACGAAAGGCTTTATGGGGCCTCTCGTCACYATGTCATCTAGTGACCAACCTTAACAATCCACTTGTAGCAGGMATTCCTTGCGAGTCCTTGATATGTTTATATAAAATGAAAGAGAAAATCTATTAGAGGAAAATAAAAACAAAAGCAAAGAAAATATAATGAAAGAAAAAGAAAAAGAAAGAAAGACAAAAAAGGAAACAAAAGAAAAAATAAGCAAGAAAAAAGAGAAATTCCAGTAGCAGGATTTGAACTCAGAACTTTCACTTCAGGAGAAGACGTACCCCCCCGGAACACATAAGAAATAATGAAAATAAAAAACTAAAAAGATGGGACGATTCCCCCGAGACATTCTATGAAGCTGAGGCGGCGAATCGGCTTACGTTACGGTTAGAGATTTCGGCCCTTCCACGCTATCCCGAGTGAACATAAAACTTAGTCTTAACCAAAAGGCCAGGGAGTGAGGGGGTAGCCGCCCACTAGAGCATACCTTTAGCTACCCTCTTAGACCATCGTACTATGAAGACACTTATAGATATCTATATCTAATTGGGGTAGTCTATTCGGTGAAGTTCTATGCTAATATATGACGTCAACAAAATCCTTAGGGAGCAGCGAGCCAATCAGAGCTCAGCTCAGGAATTAGCAAAGGATTCAGGGTTTGCATAATCATTCTTTAGTGGATTTATTATTTGATGGGGGCGGGGTGGGTGCCAAGTGCTGATTTGCGACCGAATACCGATGTACTCGATGGAATGTGACGGCTTTCCCCGAGTTGTTCAACTGACAACTGTCGTTATTGTTTTCCAAATCACTGATCACAGGAAAAAGTGTACAGTAATCAGACGGACATCACAAGTATTCSTATGAACACCACGATAAAAATCTATTGAAATTCTTAACGTAAGTGGTTTACAGGTCTTTACAGACCAGTAGAAGGCAGCCGGTAGACAGGCTAGCAGATACTGAGCTGTTGACAAAGGTTTGCCGGGATTCAACGGAGCAATTAAAGACCTCTGAAACTCCAACATTACACTCGAACGCAAAACATTTTCGCTCTTTTTTGTTTTCGTTCTTTATGATATAAACTGATATAAAAGMTTACAAATGGRTTAATATTTATTATCAAAAAATTATTAAATGTAAATAAAATTAATAATGAATGGTAAAAAAAACTTAACAATCTTTATTGCAAACTTGTGAGCCGAATTATAGTAAAAATACAGTTTGAATGATGTAAACATTTTATCAAAGAAAACCTTCGAGAATTTGATGAGTTTATAAGTCAACAGATACAGAAAGTTGTCTTTGACTACAGCTAAATTAAGTTCTAAGGAATCCATGTCGTGATGAAAATCCCTTTTCCAAATCTTTCAGATGGATATGTTTACTGTATAGGCAAGGACAGGCAAGAACACGTTGTATTCTTGGTTCATGCATGTTACGTCACAGCGGCCATCTTGGAGGAACTTTAACAAAGGATTTCTCATTAGTATCTATTGTTCATTCCTCCAACATGGCCGCCGGTCTTTTATCTTTTGAATGTCATGGGAATGGGTGAAAACGATCAGTACTGAAAATCGAAGAGTTACTAAGTCTCTGAATGGCCTCATGCAGTCACATGCAGTCCTCGACTGCTATTTTTTGGATTGTACTGTTATTTTTTGGCGGCAATGG